CTCTTCGAAACTAGCCCAAACAGAAAACTTTCGGGCTAGGGACATGGCTAGCCCGGCTTGAAAATTTCAGGCTTGTTTTGTTGGAGCCGGGCCAAGCCCTAAGTTGTTCATTCAATCTCAAACAAATCAATTATTTTTTTGCTTGTGAAATTTCATTAATTCAATAGTATATTGAAATAGTTAATTCAACGCGCATCACAGAATAATTGATTCACTTGTAAATTTCATTTTTTTTCATTGAGGATGAGAAATATTAATTATATATTATTGAAAATACAAAAAACTATACGAACTGAAGGAATTTCCGCCCAAGCCATTTTCAGCTTCACATAATGAAGTCCGAACAGCCGGCCTGGCCTGAAATGTAACAAAATAATTAAGCCTAAGTTTCATATAAGTGATCATTTTTAGAAATTTCGGGCTAGGTCAAGCTTTTGAGTTTTCATTCTCACCTCCAACTGCATGATTAATATTGTACTTACCCACATATGATTAGGTTGTTTTAGCTAGGGGTATCAAATGAGCCCTAATCAGCAAAACTTAACATGAGCCCACTTGACCCAATCGGAGTATTTTGAGGTCGAATCTCTTCAAGGTCGGTTCTAGGTTGAACGGGGATGGTTTGGGCTTTAGGTCGAAATCCAAACCGACCCAAAAACCCAGTAAGAAAGAGTATGACATGGGAAAAGTGTCAAAAAAGTCCTAAACCTTTGGCATTGGTGCCAATTTAGTCATAAACATTTTATCTTTGTGCTAATTCCGTCCTTTTGGCCAATTTTTGTCGAATTTTACTGATATGGACGCCGGCTGGCCACTAGCGCTGATGTAGACAACTTTTAATAATATTTTAATATTTTTTAAATTTTTATTTATTTTTTCCTCCCCTCCCTCTTTCCTCCAGAGGCTGGCGAGGTCATCTCGTTGGCCACTGGCGAGGCTCACCCTCACCGGATGGCCACGAGGGCGGCCTCGCGCTGGGCAGGCGAGGGTCGAGCCTCGCCGACGGCTAGGCGAGGCTCGACCTCGCTGGATCTGGCGAGGTTGAGCCTTGCCGGCGGCTGGACGAGGCACGACCTCGCCAGATCTAGCGAGGTCAAGCCTCGCTGACGGCTAGGCGAGGCCCGACCTCGCCGGATCTGGCAAGGTCGAGCCTCGCCGGAGGCTGGACAAGGCACAACCTCACCAGCCATGGCGAGGCTTGCCTTCGCCATCGTTGGCGAGGCACGACCTCGCCAGATCTGGAGAGGTCCAGCCTCGCCCAGCCATGACGAGGCTCGCCTTCGCCGTCGCTAGCGAGGGTGAGCCTTGCCAGTGGTTGGCGAGGGGCCTTTGGCCGGTCGTCGGTCCGGCAACCGGCTGGAGGAAGGAGGGAGGGGAGGAAAAAGAAAAGAAAAGAATAAAAAAATAAATAAAATTCAAAAAAATATTAAATATTATTAAAAGTTATCCACGTCAGCGCCAGTAACTGGCCGCCGATCGGCCGGCATCCATGTCAGCAAAATCCAGCTAAAATTGATCGGAAAGACTGAATTAGCACAAAGATAAAAGGTTCAGGACTCAGTTGGCACCAAAAAAATGTTTATGACTAAATTGGCACAAATGCCAAAGGTTTAGGACTTTTTTGAGACTTTTCCCGATATGACGTGATATTGAACAACTATTATAATTAGTTTAAATAATTGCAATGTTATATGTTGAATAGAAAAACCAAATCTACTTAAATTTGGCTTGAGCAACTTATGAGGAGGGGTCAACGAAGAACTATTAGCCTATTCCGGGAAAAGTGCCAAAAAAGTCATAAACCTTTTGCATTAGTGCCAATTTAGTCCTAAACCTTTTTTTGGTGCCAATTCAGTCATAAACCTTTTGCATTTGTGCCAATTTAGTCCTAAACTTTTTTTTGTGCCAATTAAGTCCTAAACCTTTTAAATTGGTGCCAATTCAGTCCTAAACCTTTTGTTTTTGTGCCAATTTAGTCTTTCCGGCCAATTTAGACCGGAATTTGCCTACGTGGATGCCTACCGGCTGGCGGCTGGTCACCGGCGCCGACGTGGACAACTTTGATAATATTTTAATATTTTTTTGAATTTTTATTTTTTTTCCTTTTTTTTTCCACTTTTTTTTTTTGTTCACTCCCTCCTTCCTCTGGCCGGTCGCCGGTCCGGCGACTGGCCAGAGGCTAGAGGCCGGCAAGCTCGAGCTCGCCGGCCACTGGCGAGGGCGAGCCTTGCCCGACCAAGGCAAGGCTCGAGCCCTCGCCGGAGGCCGCGGCGAGGTCGCCATGGTCAGGCGAGGCCCGACCTCGCCGAATCTGGCGAGGTCGAGCGTCGACCTCGCCAGATCCGGCGAGGTCGAGCCTCGCTCGACCAAGGCAAGGCTCGAGCCCTCGCCGGGCGAGGCCGCCCTCTCCAGTGGCCGGCGAGCTCGAGCTCACCGGCCTCTGGCCCGACCAGAGGAAGGAAGGAGAGAATAAAAAAAAAATGGAAAAAAAAAAAGAAAAAAAAGGAAAAAAAATAAAAATGTATTAAAATATTATCAAAGTTGTCCACGTCGGCGCCACATCGGCGCCGGTGACCGGTCGCCGGCCGGCAGGCGTCCACGTAGGCAAATTCCGATCAAAATTGGCCGGAAGGACTAAATTGGCACAAAAACAAAAGGTTTAGGACTGAATTGGCACCAATTTAAAAGGTTTAGGACTTAATTGACACCAAAAAAAGGTTTAGGACTAAATTGGCACCAATGCAAATAGGACTGAATTGACACAAAAAAAATGTTTAGGACTAAATTGGCACTAATGCAAAAGGTTTATGACTTTTTTGGCACTTTTCCCGGCCTATTCCTAATTTGTTTGAACAATGAATCCTAATAAATCAACAGAATAGTCATTTCATAACATCACATTAAGGATTGAGAAAAACTCAAGATATATATATATATATACGTGAACCCTTAGAAAATTATTTAACACGCGTGCACACACACTTATATTTATACATTTTTCTCCATCTATCTATTTATCTAGCTTTCGATCTTTAATTTTTTCCGACAAGGATAGATCGATCAATCAATCTTATATTAGTAAACTTAATGATTAACTGGGCAAGCAACATCTCCATCTCAACGTGTGTGGTCATGATGCTTGCCACACGTTTAGACTTTCCTGGCACATGGTACTTAAGCTTGTGAATCTCGGACTTTGAAACTAGAATATCCAAAGTGCTCTGCAAAAATATATAACTAACGAAAAAGGTTACGATTATTTTTGTAATTTTCTCCATTTAATATTCAGCTAACCTCTGGTGCCAACGCATCTAATTGTTTTGAATATACCGATGGAGTCTATTCGTGTTATCTTCTTCTTTTTTTATAGGAAAGACATAATAAAATCGACCTAATTTCGTCAATCCAATGATATAGATTTGATAATCGATGATCATATATAGACTATATGAGAATCGCCTAACTTTGGATAAGATGTCTCTGCTTGACAGTGTCAATATCACATAATTTGCTTACATATGGTTGATAGATGAAATATTGCGTATACCTATTTTAGAAGTTTACATATGAAGGACAAAAACTAACAATAGCGTGGAGATTGTACGAGAACTCCTTTTTTATAAGAGAGAGATCCACCATGGATCGGTGAATTCTTGATTCTTGATAAATTAGCCTTACTAAAGATGCAATATTTAAGTCAGAATGATTTGGTCATCAAACTTTTAACCGTGGGTGTAAATCCCAATTCCTTCATACCATCATTAGACTCTGATCTAACAGGATCGACATGAAAGAAATCCACGTCCATCACTCATCACACAGTTTATAATAAGTTCGACCCACATGGACTACGGTTGGCACGCATCTGAGGGACGATTGGATGTGTCTCATGAGTAGAGAATGAGAATGTCCTTGTACTGTTGCATGGATGATGAGGATGAGAATGATTGCGTACTGTGAGCTGTGAGCTGCCAAGACTCGCCGCTTCGAAACAGTGAAGCAGACAAAGCCTGAACTTCTTCCATATTGTATCGCAGCTTTCCTGTCAAAGAAGAGCCATGTTCAGATCCGAGATCCGATTGGCTTCCAGCGTCAGGTTTCGTCGACAGCACGTCTCTTTCCCCATTTCTCTTTAGTTGGTCTTAATTCTTAATTAGTAGAGAGTCAGGAATGTCCATCAGCCAGCACTAGATAGGTATTTCTTTTCAAGCTTTGCTAGGTGCTAAATGAAAGAAGCGGACGTTGATTTGGGTCGCTTAGTCAAGGTGACGAGGAACGATTTTCTAAACAAAACATTTATTCCAAGTTGTAGAAAAATTCAGGATATGATCGTAGTTATGCCTCCAGAAAGCCAGAGGTTGAATTAGGCGTGTTATTTACCTAAATTATTTTCAGCTCTCTGATCCATATATCATATAAGAACGGGTAATGTACAAGTCTTGATTCTACTTTCATGGTGAATGTACTACGAGTGATTGCATCTTGGGAGGGAACGGCTCTCTTCCCTTCGCTCTCTACAATTTCTCTTCATCCAGAAAAGGCCTAAGTAGTCTTGCTTTCCCCATTAATTCTTTCCGCTGTTATTCTCCCTTCCAAACGAGGGAAGACAAAACTTAGTACAAAGAAAGACAGCATCTTGCACGAGAATCATTAGTATTGTTGTATTACTCTTAAAATTATAGCAGTTTTTCTACTGGCCATCATCATAATCGTTCCAAATTTGAACAAGAGCATGGTACATGGGTTTACAGTAAAACCTGGTGCCATGTTGAGGCAATCCTGGTTTTTCTAACAAACATATTAGGATAGTATAAATATTGCATCTTATTTGTTTTTGTCTCCATGTGCTCATCTTCCTAGGAACATAGGGTCACACCTTCCTCTGTCTGTCTGATTTGTAAGTTTGTACATAAAGAAGTGTAAATGCAAACACCATCCCATTGTTCCACACTACTTATATCTGTCAAAACTGTGTGGCTTCATATTGAGGCTGACCGATATCATTTGAGAAGCTAAAAAAGGATGGGTGGTTTTGATGATTACAAGCCTGTCTTGGCCATGTTTGGCCTGCAGTTTACTTATGCAGGTCTTGCTCTGTTCGCTAGAGCTTCTCTTGTACAGGGGTTGAGCCCTAGAGTCTTTGTTGTGTATAGACAAGCCGCAGCCACACTTTTCATCTCCCCTGTTGCCTTCTTGTGGAGGTACTGAACTGTTCTCTCTCTCTCTCTCTCTCTCTCTCTCTCTCTCAATTTTAATTTTTTGCAGGAAGTCTCGTAGGACTTCGTTGGGATTGAAGAGCTTCTCTTTGATATTCTTGGCATCTCTCATAGGGTAAGTTTCCTTCAGAAGTTAAATTACTTAGGTCCTGTCAAATAATATGTTTGTGATTTTCAGCGCAAAGATCGTATGATTCATGAGAATGGATATTTGCAGGGTCGCAATCAATCAAAACATTTACTTTGAGGGTATGTACTTAGCCTCATCATCGATGGCTAGTGCGACAGGCAATCTTGTCCCTGCAATTACATTTCTGTTGGCGTCCGCTCTTGGGTACATACACACAACCGTAAACCAATTATTCTTGAGGAATTCAAAATAAACAGAATCATTGCCCTCCACAGTCCTCATAATTAAAGTTGACACTAATTAAACACCAATGACCTGAATTAAGCTCATGAAGAACAGAAACATTTTCTTGAGCTCGAAGAAATCAAATCAATGACTAATATCTAAAGAAGGATCACATGCCTCAAAGAAATATTTCGAAAGTCAGATGTGGTTATTAGTAACATAAGTTCTGATCTGGGCAATCTTTTTTTGTTTTTTGTTTTTTTGGTCTAATGATGTGGTTAATCTAAACACTGACATTCCACATTTCTTTGTTCCTTTGAAACTTGAGAATGGAGAAGGTTAATGTAAGAAGTCTAAGAAGCATTGCCAAAATATTGGGCACGGCAGTTTGCGTCTGTGGAGCGATTGTTATGGTGTTGCTCCAGGGACCAAAGCTTCTAAATGCAGAGTTCCATCTACTCGTGAGGTCTATTTTTGCTTCTGAAGGCGACAATTGGTTGCTGGGTTGCATATTTCTCATTGGAAGCGCTTGTTGCTGGTCGATTTGGCTGATTCTGCAGGTATTGAACTGTAATCCATTGCAATTCACATACATGCCTTTATGGTCACTTAAGTAGCCAATAATTTTCTACTCAGGTCCCAATGTCGGCAAGCCATCCTGACCATCTATCTTTATCAGCTTGGATGTGTATCATATCCACAATTCAATGTGCGGTCATCACATTATTCCTAGAACAAGATCCTGAAGCATGGAAGCTCCATTCCAAGCTTGGGATAGCTTCAGTTTTGTATGCTGTAAGTAACTACATCTGCTGTTCATATCAACACGAGATACCACATGAATTATTCGTATGTTCTTATTGGAACTATTCCCAAGAGTTACTGAAGTTTGACGTCCTATTTTCTTTGTTTGAATTGTTGTGAATAGGGAATTGTAGGATCTGGAATTTCTTTCTTCGTCCAGTCATGGTGCATTTCCCAAAGAGGCCCTCTCTTCTCCGCCATGTTCAACCCTCTGGGCACTGTTATAGTAACCATTTTGGCTGCTATATTTCTGCACGAAGAAATATATACCGGAAGGTAGTATCTTTATTCCCATCTTGGAGCGTCAGTCTTATGTGTTATGAGGAATTATTTTGCCTATCAAGAATAACTTACTGTCCCGAAGGTTAAACTTTGTACTTTGATCTTGAATTTTCAGTCTGACTCCGATGTACAAATTAAGGCTTTTCAGAGGAATTCACATTTTTTACTCTCTTGCAGCTTGGCAGGTGCAATTGGGATAGTAGCTGGTTTATATTTAGTGCTGTGGGGTAAAGCTAAAGACCTTGTTGAGATCAATGAAGAGACGGAGCCCAAGATTCGAATTGATTGTGCTCACACCGTAAAACTATCTGTTGATGGGTTGTCACCGGAGAAGCTATCAAGTATTAAATGTGATTTGTCAGAACCTCTTTTATCAGATACATCAGCTGACAAAACAAACCCCGTCTAGATCGATAAATAATGCGAATTTTCTTTCTGTATTTGAATAGCACAGAGTGTGCTTCTTTTCATTATCCTTTAACATTTAGGATTCCAAATGGTGTTTGTACCAACTATTGAAATGCCAGCAGGAGAAGGAAAATCATTTAGTATAGTTTCGTGATTTAAGGGAAAAAAACACGAACCACAAACTTTTAAATGGGTATTGATATACAGTAAAATCATATTGTTCGTTTCTTGACTGCCAAGACTTCAGTTTAAAACAAGACGTAATTCATAGGGTGTTACCCTACCAAAACAGCAACAAAATCAGTGATTAAACTCACACGCAGTAATTATTGCAAGGAACTAAATCACAGCATGATCAACCAAATTCATTTATGTCGAACGGAGCTTTCAAGCAGTGATACCACGATTAGCTTGTGCCCTGGCTCTGCGAATGTGGTAAGTAGTAAGTACAAAGTAAGTCATCTTTGAGCCAAAGTTTTCTTTATGCAGATGGTAACCCCTCCAATGCAGAAGAGCTCCATCCAAAGATGTAAAGCGCAATTTTTTAGGCTTGATTTCCTAAAAAACCCCCCAACTTCCCCCAACTTTAGGTCAAGTCCAAAATTTATCCCGAGCTTTTTTTGTCTCAGAAAAAACCCCAAACTTTAGGTTCAGTCTCAAATTTGCCCCGGACTATTTTTGTCTTAGAAAAAACCCCAAACTTTGAGTCCAGTCTCAAATCTGCCCCAAATTTTGTTTTGTGTAAAAAAAATCACCAAAATTCAATTTATTTTAAAAAATATACCCCCGTGATCCAGTCCCAACTTGAAGTGATACTTCCACGTCGATAACAAATCCACATCAACAAAGTAATTGAGCTTTTTTTAGACAAAAAAAAAGTTCAGAGCAAATTTGGACTGAACCTAAAAGTTAGGTTTTTTTTTAAATTAAAAAAAAATTGGGGTGGATTTGTTATCGTCCGTAACTTTCATATCCTAAAATGGTTTTATTTTGGAGAATTTCAACAATTTTTATTTGGTTTGATTTGTCATCGAAGTGAAAATGTAACGTCGGTTTGTATCTATCTCCCCATTACTGTCGGTTTGTATCTATCTCCCCATTACTTTGCTGATGAGGATTTGTTATCGACGTGAAAATGCCACATTAAGTTGGGACTGGATCGGGGGTATATTTTTGAAAATAAATTGAAATTTGCTGATTTTTTTTACATAAAACAAAATTCGAGATAAATTTGGGACTGAACTTAAAGTTTGGGGTTTTTTTTAGACAAAAAAAAGTTTGGGGCAGATTTGGGATTTTACCTAAAGTTTGGGGTTTTTTCTTAAACAAAAAAAGTTCAGGACAGGTTTGGGACTTGACCTAAAGTTTGGGATTTTTTAGGGAATTCACCCCAATTTTTTTCTAAGTTCACGAGGCAAAGTGTACCAACATCAATGTCATGAGACATACAGTGACTTAAAACAGGGTGGCGTTATTCATGCCTTAATGGCGTGAATTAATGAGCTATGGCGGTCAACTACAACGAGAGAGAGAGAGAGAGAGAGAGAGAGAGAGAGAGAGAGAGAGAGAGAGAGAGATGGTCCCATTTTTTGAGCTCGGCATGAAACTATCCTCCATCCATCTTGTCATGCACATGAAACTCCTCAGGCCACTGTGTCCGCGGGCCTTCCTTGTTTAAGGACCATGATGCATGCCATTTGTTGCTAAAACGAAACCCAAAACGAAAAAAAAAAAAAAAAGCAGAGACGTATGCCACCACTTGGGATCCTTGAATGTGGAAGTGGCTCCGCCATTTGGGGAGGACATGTCATGTTTATCCTCGTCATAAGTAACCTCCATTGGGGGTTAAAGAACATCGGATTATTTGTCGGGATCCAAAGAGATTGACCGAGTTCTTGAAGAGTCTCCGAACATTCAACTTCCTTGAAGGAACGCGACCCGAGAGACCATTCACAGAAATTTTGTGAGAAGACAGGAAATTGGTTCGGTGAAGCTATACACAAAACATTGGGAAAGTCTCGGATAAGGTATGAAAAAATGATTCCAAAGATTTATGGCCTTACTTTTTGGGCCTGAAGGAAAAGCCAGACACTTGTCACTCCTGGACAAACATCTATCAACAGGGCTGGACCTCTCTCTCTCTCTCTGGGCCAACCGAAATGAGGAAATTACTATGCACCTAAGTAGGTCCTTAAACTTTTTTTGTTTGAACTTTGCGACGTAAAACACGGAGGTATTCTCTAAGGTAAGGGAAGAAAAACTATCCTCCAATGAGGGGAGTAGGGTGTGTGAGCCGGGCTTACATGTAGGGACATAAACGGGGTGGGGCGGGGTGGGGCAAGCCGGGCTTACTCTTGAAAACTAGCTTGAACCGAAACTTTTGAGCTTGCACATCCCAAGCCCGAACCCGAACCCGAACAAGCCAGGCCCAATTTCAGGCATGTTCAATCCCGACCGGGCTTAGCCCGATAATATTATTTTCAATATTAATAAGTTTAAATAATTGAAATGTTATATATGGAACAGAAAAATCAGACCTAATTAAATCTGGTTTTAAGCAACTTAAGAGGAGGGGTCAAGGAAGAACTATTAGCCTATTTCTTATTTGGTGAAACAGTCATCCTTATCTATTTATTATCTTATCCCTAGTGGATTTTCTTATTTGCTAGAACATAAGCTATTTTTGCGAGTCAAACGTCACGTTAAGGATTGAACAAAACTCAAGTCCATGTAATTCCAATATAAATATATGCGTGAAACTCTAGAAAATTGATGAACACACACACACACCATCTATCTATTTATCTAGCTATAGATCCTTTTTTTATGTTTTAGTTTTTTTATAAGTCTAGATCGATCTATCTTGTATTAGTAGACTTAAGGATTGACTAGGCAAACAACATCTCAATCGCAACATGTGTGGTCATGATGCTCGTCGCCACATGTTTGCCTCAGTCCCTTGAGGTTTCGACATACAAGCCTTTGGAGCAACATAATTTTTTTTTGTTTTGTCCTATTCTAACTCTTATCTAACTCTCAAATTTTTGCTCTGCTTTTTTAGAAAGCGTCATATGTAACCGTCGGTAGAGAGTTATCAATACCCAAAAGGCTAAATAAGATTGTCTCTAGTCTTTTTACCTTTAATTTCTTGTCATTTCTTTCATGTCCAAAATCAATAAAGGACCCTTCACAACCTTTGTCAATTCATATCGATCCATCCATATTCTTGAAGAATATTTCATCACATTTTTTGTGAAACATTTTTTTGGCACGCCTAATGAGACACTTTTTGTTGATTTGAGAAGACTACAATGGCAAGAACCAAAAATTAATAAGGGTCTGAGCAATTGGCCAAATCAGTCCTAATCTCTATATGCACTTATTGGAAGCAAATGTTTATACTTTCAAAGCAAACTATCTATGAGGTCGAGAAGAAGATTGGATAATTCTTATGGGTAAGAAATACAGAAGTACATGGATCCCACAAAGGCGCTTGGCAAGTCATTTGCTTGCCCGAAAGGTAAGGAGGACTAGGATTGCTTGATCTAAAATTATGGAACAAAGTATTGCTAGGCTACATGCTTTGGAGCCTTATCAATTATCCATCCTCTTCCCTATGGAGTAAGTGGGTTCACAGTATTAAATGCAGAGGCACTCCAATTATACAACTTGACATCAAGAGTTGTATGGCCTGGAGTTGGTGAGGTCTTCTTAAGTGGAGACCTGCTGTAACTTCGGTCATATCTAGCTCTAGGTACTATTGTAAAGAGATTTATGATGAACTCAGACAAATGGGACTGATTGTGGTGTGGCATAACCTAATTTTGACTAGCCATATCAGCAAACATAATTTTATCAACTGATTGCAAAAACAGGCTTCTAATAGCAGAGATCATATCATGATGGATGCCTTCAATAGATATCCAATGCAATTTCTGTATGACCCATTTAGAAGACAGAACACGTTTGTTATTTTAGTGCAACTAGATTGGAAGTATATAGTGTAGTATCTTGCAACAACATGAGATTCAGTGTTCTGTTGGTGGATGGAATGATGAACTGTAATGGATGATGAAGACTATTAGGAGCAAAGACTTGGTGGCAAGGCTCCTCAATGTATCATCCTTAGCAATAATATATTGCATTTGGATGGAGTGAAATCGTAGACATTTTCAAAACAAAGTCAAATGATATCCACATTATTTTTGCTAAGGTGCATAAAATCGTTAAGGGTAGAGCCTCACGTTACAAAAATATTAGACCTTCCCAGGTTAATGTTGTATTGGCTACTATGTGGACTTCCTATCTCCATCTTCGCATTATTAGTTTTATTTATAATGCCGGGGGATGCCCCTAAGCTTCTGCACTTCATTCGATAACTAATACTTACCTCTTACATAAAAAAAATGATGCTAGCAACAAAAAACCATTACCACAACTAATAATGAGACAACCGTGCATTCTGATACTTTAGTCACATGGAGAGCGGTTGAAGATAAACGACCTAAGAATGTTGATCTTTTGATGCATCATATTGATTAGATGTTGAGGGAGGTTGCACCATATCCCAACATGGTGTTAACCATGAGAAGAATGTTTGAAGAGTAGCATAATTATATGGCTAACTACATTGTGAGTCATATATCCGATGTGATTAAATGATAGTCATCAATATTGTGAATGACGCTCTCTTGAGGCTAGGATCATTCAACGGGTACATTTTTAGTCTTTCTCCATTTGTTGATGCCAACAATGTTGGTCTGAATAGTCAACCTCCTCCAAGAATTATGCAAAAGCCTGAATCTTCTTATCAATGTCAGAACAATGGGGATAATCAGGCTAATGTTGGTTAAACTAACCAAATTGGTAATAATAATTTGGCAGATCAAACTGGTTGATAGGCCGACCAACTACCAAATGTTGGAAATGTAAGGCTAGTGGCTCCATTGGTACAATCCAATGTGAATATTCCTGTTAGGCCTTACATGCCAATTAAAGTAAATAATCCAGCAAGACCAGCATCACCGCCTAGGGGGCAAGATGGCTCCACACTTGAACTCAGTATAGTTTGTTGAAGAAGTTTGACAAAAATTAGGATTATACAGGGGTGTTATCATACCTATTTATAGGAAACTACATCCCAAA